CTCCTAATAACGATTTACATAATTAGTAATTGGTATGATATAAAAAACGTTACGATGCATCATACTTTGGATGAATGATACGGTGTTACGGTATGTTGGTTATTACGCAAATAATACGACGATATAATAGTATATTAGTAATCGAATATTTTTAAGGATCTTTGATTCGTTAAAACATACAAAAGAAACGGGGGTTTTTACAAAAGGACATGAGAGAGTTGTCTCATTGGCACTCATACCACATCTTCTTATATCTATGAAAAGAGATAATTACTACGCGACAAGAAAGGGGGTATTTACAATGAGCACAATGGGAGATACTTACCATACGACAGGAACGGGGCATTTACAATGAGACAAGACAGGAGTTATTAACCAAATGACATGAAAAAGGGTATTTACAAAGACACAAGACAGGAGTTATTAAACATATTAAACTTGATCACATGAATATTTGTATTTGCTCAGTTTGCACGGTAATACTGTTGTGTTTAGCTTGTCGTAGGTCAAAAATAGCATATTGCACGGGGCATACAGCATGTTACTAAAAATACATTCTAGAAATCCCCAATTTTACATTGTTCATTCAATAGTTTTTGATTAATAATATAACAATTGTAGCCTTTGGTTGAGGTCAATAAGATGTTATGTCGACCTAGAGAAACATATCGACCTCGGACTATGTCCTCAGTCAATATGCTTTTCTTAGGTCGATATAACCTCGTTAATGTATCAACCTTAAACAAAGGCTATAATTGTATAATAAACATATTTATTCTAAAACCAGTTGTTGGCATTACACGGGTTATGTTCTTTTCATATATTTTATGATGGTATGATACTAAACCCTAACGGGAGGGATTGTGCTTGATATTCATATGATGAAGACATACTCTTTCAATAAGTTTAATTGAGGTCTGGAGCTGGCATGTCAGTAACAACTGCTAGTAGTCCTTTGTTAATTTATGTATCAGTCATTTTGCTTACTATATTAGTTTTTTTTGCGCCTGTCCCAAGTCAGGAGCCTTTGGCCTTTGTTAGTCTTGTTGATTTTTAATTTTAGTTGATTTATATATTTCGGAATTTAGTATGACGTCCATTATCACTGAACTAGTACACATTTTTGTTTAGGGGCCAGCTGAAGCACGCCCCGGGTGCGGGATTTTCTCGCTGTGTTGAAGACCCATTGGTGGCATTCGGCTGTTTTCTGCTCTTTGGTCGGGTTGTTGTCTCTTTGACACATTCCCCATTTCCATTCTCAATTTTATATAGCAAAATCCTGGGTTCTTTATTCATATAGCTTGGACCACATGACTTTGGTCCTTTTGATTAAATTACTTCCCTTAGTTGAAGATTGAAAATATAAATTATATCAAATTTGCGGATTATCCAGTCTTTTTCCGTCTTGGATTTAAAACTAATGTGTCTTTGAAAACTTCCTTTGGCGGATATCTACAAATATGTTCTTCTTCCAAAAAATTCTAAGGAAAAATGCTTAAAATGTGACTATTTACGAAACGGGAAGGATGAAATCACCATATTTAAAAAAAAAAAGTTATTTAACCAGAAATTTCAACCTGCAAGGTGTTTCCCTGTATGCGGACAAATCATGAACGATCTCTTCTTGTATCTTTATTTCTATTTTGAATCTTGCTTTTTACAATTATTCGTTATTTTATAGAGCAATTATACTACGGTTACGCTTCCGATTTTCAAACCAAAAAGGCCGAAAGTCTTCAAATTAGACAAAGTTCATTTGTATGAACGGACATAAGGCAAAAAACATGAACAATGATGAATGGTACGGTGGTATGATATGTTGGTATAATACTGTTTGCTACTAAGTATATCTTTTAAATCAATGATTCCAAAAACTCCCTCTGGCAAATTTGACCTTGGACGAATAAGGCTATTCTTTTTTTTATGTTTCTTTTTGTCATATTAGCTCCTTAAGTTTTGGTCCTTTTTGTAATATTAGCTCCTCAAGTTTTGGTCCTTTTTGTAATATTAGCTTTTCAAATTTTGGTCCTTTTTGTAATATTAGCTCCTCGAGTTTTGGTCCTTTTTGTAATATTAGCTCCTCAAGTTTTAATCCGTTTTGTAATATTAGCTCCTCAAATTTTGGTCCTTTTTGTAATATGAGCTCCTCAAGTTTTGGTCCTTTTTGTAATATTAGCTACTCAAGTTTTGGTCCTTTTTGTAATATTAGCTACTCAAGTTTTGGTCCTTTTGGTCATATAGGTCCGCACGTTTTCAGGTCTTACACATCAAGCGGAGCCAATCAAAATAATGTTGGGAGATTTTATACTAAAAAATTATATATTTTCCAATCATAGGGGGTCGAACGCCTTTCAGGCGACCCTCAATCAGCCATTGCTATTCATATATATATACCGTGTTCCATACAACATACCAGACCACCGTTAAATACTACGTTTTACAGTATGCCCGTTTCCAAATATATCTGTGCATTTTATCAAAAAAAAAAAGAAAAAAAAGTTACATGTTAATTGCTGACATCTGTTTCTTCCGATGGCAGACATTAAAAGTGACCTCTTTACAGTGAATGACATACTTTACAGTGAATGACATACTTTACAGTTGTCTATATCAAAAGCCGAAGGTTGTAACTCATGACCAAAATAAGACTGAATAATGTACTTCAAAAGTGTACAAAAAGATTGAGCTTTCCTGAAGACAACAGATCCAGAAAAGTATTGTTGGTTTTCTGGTCTATCCAAGGTCATTTCAGTGACTACTAGGATGATTAATGAGTTAGCAAATGTATTTCATAGACATGCGCGTAATAAATAATCATTTTATTGATGTCTCAAGTCATAAAATCTTTAATAATAAACGAGTTGACCTGTTAATGTGTTGCGTCTCCGTTTACCAGATCAAATCAATCAGTATTGCTATATACCGCAAAGGTAGTATGCAAACTGTTACAGTAGTTTATTATCCTCCCTAATGATTATTCATTTTGCCCTAGTTATGGAATGATTTGGAAAACAAACTAATTCTCGAATTTCTTTTCCGTTTGAATTCTATGCGTATTTCTAATGTTATTAGTCTTGTCTCCCTTTTTATCGACCCAGTTTTACAAATATTAAAATCAGATGGGAAAAATTCAAAATCCATGACACATTTGTACATGTACAATCTATCACAGGCATATTTATTCAAACTAAGTAAATCAAATAACAAGAATGTGTCCACAGTACACGGATGCCCCACTCGCACTATCATTTTCTATGTTCAGTAGACCGTAAAATTGGGGTCAAAACTCTAATTTGGCATTAAAATTAGAAAGATCATATCATAGTGAACATGTGTACTAAGTTGAAAGTTGATTGGACTTCATCAAAAACTTACCTTGGCCAAAAACTTTAACCTGAAGCGTGACAGACGGACGGACGGAAGAACGGACGAACAGACCGAAAAAACATAATGCTCCTAGGTGGGGCATAAAAAACAATTAAAAAGATTCTGCGATTTGAACAACAGTGTCCATGTAGTTACTTTTAAGTGTTTAAAACAGAGAAAAAAATAAGGCAGAAACTTTTTCTTTCCAAGACATGTGTTTTCATTAACACTTTAATTCACTGTTTTAATTAAACTAACATCCTATCACTTTTGATATGGAAGAATCCCTTTTCAATATAGAATGTATCATTTATAGTAGAATGTAAAATAAAAAAAATACCGTACTCCAAAGAAAATTCAAAACGGAAAGTCCCTTATCAAATGGCAAAATGAAATGCTCGAACATATCAAACGAATGGAAAACAACTGTCATATTCCTGACTTGGTACAGGCATTTCCTTGTGTAGAAAATTGTGGATTAAACCTGGTTTTATAGCTAGCTAAACCTCTCACTTGTATGACAGTCGCATAAAATTCCATTATATTGACAACAATGTGTAAACAAAACAAACAGACATAATAGGTAAACATGTCAAAAATAGGGGCACAGCAGTCAACATTGTGTCAGCCAGCAACTGTTGGTTGGGAGTGGGATTTCAGTTTATCTACATTATTTTTTAACAAAAGTAACATGCATCGAACCATATAACAACGTAGAGGCAACACATAAAACCCGGTCACCTCGTTTAGAATTATAGATTTTATGACTGGAGACAACAATAAAATGATTATTTATTTCGCGCATGTCTATATTAAATACATTCGTTATCTCATTTATCATCCAGCAGTCACTGATATGACATTGGATAGATCAGAGAACCAAAAAGAAAATAACACTTTAAATAATTGTGTGCGTCCAAAGTGCTTTTCTGGATTTAACTTAATCAGAAACGCTCAAGGTTTCAATCCATCAAATTATACCATGTTATAGTGATTGTTTACAAAACCATACAGGCATCAAACCATTTATGCATACCGTGTTCCATACCACTCCATCGAAGAAAAAACACGTTTTACAGTTTGCCCGTTTTCAATTATATTCGTGTTTTTGTTTGAAAAAAAAAGTTACATGTTAATTGCGGACATCTGTTTCTTCCGGTGGCAAACATTAAAGGTGACCTCTTTACAGTGAATGACATTTATAACAGTTGTCTATATGAAAAGTGGAATGTTTTAGAACATGACCAAATTAGATATGAATAAAGTATATACGTAAAAAAGTGAACAAAAAACACTACGAAAATAAGTAAAAAGAAAAAAAATATAATATGTTAGGCATGAATTGGTTTTACAGTGTGTTACTGGTTAACTACGAAATTTCTTATTTCTAAATCTTCAGATATGAAAGTTTCTTATGAAGAACTAAAACAATCGTCGTATTTTACTTTGAAGGATAAGATAGTAAAGCACAAAAAATAGTTGAAAGTGTTTCTGTGTCGATCAATTCATTTTCGAAAGAAAAGTTTTATCCTCGTTCATGCTGTGACCTATGCAGGATGGATATAATCAGAATCTAATGCATTTTGGGTATTATTTTTAAAGGCGTTATTCAAATTGTTGTGAATGGTTTACAATCACTCTGTTGTACAAACAATAAAATTACCCAAATCCTTCAAATTCCAATTGTACGGCGAATGAGATAAAAACAATAACTTGTTTTTGTAGCGAGTGGACAACTATTTAATTATTTGCTTGGAGAGGGTAGGATAATTTGGAAAAAAAATAAACTTGGCCAGGGAAGAACTGAAATGAATTTCTTTGCGCAAGACAAAATCAAAATGAATATTCTGCCATATACTTATGACACAAAATGCAGGAAACAAATTTGTACGATAATGAAAAAAAAAAAAGCATGCGAAGCAACAGGTGAAATTAAATAATCAATCCGAAAAAATCCTTTCGACCCCCCTCCCCCCTTTTCCAAATATCAAATGGTGTTACCCTAAAAGAATACGAGTACACAATATGTGTAATTGTCGAACTTGCAAAGTTATCGAACAATATCAAAAGGAGCTCGAACTCATCTGTTAATTTTTGTACGGACGATTAAAATTCTTCGATCGACTTTTGTTCATTGTTGAAGGCCGTACGTTGACCTATACTTGCTTACTTCTATGTAATATACTCTCTGGTGGACAGTTGTCTCATTAGCAATCATACAACATCCTCTTAATTTTTGTTTTAACTAGGAAAGGAGTCGCGTTTAGTATAATAAAACGAGTCGAATTTTACAGAATATGAATATTCAGATGATTTTTTTTCACAATGAATTGAGACAAGTTGGTGTATCATTCACTATTTTTTCATTCTTTTTGTCTATTTTAATATTGTTCGGACCTTAACAAAAAACATTGACAGTAACGAAAACTGCAAACTGCATGTAAAAATTCAAAATCGCCGAATGTATTCATGCTTTAGCATTTGTTTCTGTGAGTTGTCGTATTACCTTGTGCATTTATAACAATCTAAGTGAAATACAGATCATTTAGTCACGCTTTGCTTAGGGGTCATCCATAATTGTCAACCATTTTCCAAAGTGTACAAAACATACACTATTTCAGACCCCCACCCTCCCTCAAAAAGTGTATATCAATCATTTTCAGACTTCAAGACAAGAATCAATCATTCTTAATAAAAAGATCCTGTCTATTATAGTGTAGTTAAATATAGAAATTTGCATTGAAAATAAACTGAAACATGTCTGACTGTTTTTTTTTATGACATCTATCTGTGATGCTGTGGAAACGAAAAAAATCTGGATATAAGAAAAAAAGCGTACGGTAAAAATGTTGATTGTTTAACCCCCTCCCCCCAAGTGTACGTTTGTACACTTTGGAAAACGGTTGACAATTATGGATGACCCCTAATACAAGGATATGAAAAAACTTCGTTCTTCTTTCTATTCTGCTAATTAAAACATCAGTCAATGAAATTTCTGCCTTCATATTTTGAAGATGTGTATCATTACGACAAAACAAGGAGATCTCGAAGGGTCTTTAAAGAAGAAAGTAGAACGATGCGTTGTCGTGAACTTGTAAGGGAGCTACCATTTGATTATTATTGGGGGTTGGGGAGGAGGGCTGGGGGTGGGGGGATGGCTAGGATGAAATTTGAAAAAAGACAGGACAGGAGTTTTGAGTAAAAAAAAAAGGCAGAATGAGCAACTTGGCAAAAAAAAAAAAAAAAGGCAGGATGACATTTTATGTAAAAAAAGTCAAGATAAACTAATAAAAAAAGGCAGGACCGAAAAGACTGAAAAATAAAAAGGCAGGACAGAGATTACAACAAAAAATAAATAAATACAGGACAAAATTTTTCATCCTAGCTCCCCCATAAAAATGAAATGGTAGCTCCCTAAGCGAAGCTTAAACACAGGAACCTTATTTCCTTTAGATTGCCTTTGTGAATACTTTATAAACTTACTTTGTAAAGCCTGTTTTCTGCCAACATCTGCTTTATGTTCTATGTTGCCTAATGGTATTCCGAATACAACTTCCGGTGGATTTCTTTGCACGTGAATTATATTTGGCACTAGATTTAATAAATATACCCAATAGAATCCGAATGGCGGATAGTCACCATGAACCATTATCAAACATGGTTTTAAAAACTTACTAGCACTAAGAAAGCTAAGAAAATGATAAAAATTAATTTCTTTTTTGGAAAACCAGATATAATGAACTAGACTTGGCACTGGGTTGCCATCGTAACAGTTCTGCATTACAAATTCAGAAATGCATTTTGAATTTTCCGGAAAAGTTTGAATTGGCGTCATTTGTTTAACGTTCACTAATTCGATGGTTGGTTTACTCTTACATTTGATATAAACCTGCGCACGCGCAGATGTCGCACTTAAATGTGGCATATCAGGACAAAGCGATACGCAGTTGAAATCCCACTTATGAGAATTTTCTGCAGGACATCGGTCAGCTTTTTGTCTTGTATTCTTCTCTTCGTCAAAATATGATGTTAAATTATCCCTTAATTTATCCAGTAAGACTGACTTGTCGAGAGCTAAAGTATCAACAGACCGGGTACTAGGACGGGAACTGTTCCCTGTTTTGTTGATATTACATGAACAGTTCGATTGTTCAGATATGCACCGATAACTTGTGCAAGGTTTCTCTGAAAATAAAATGAAAATTTTTTTTATAGGTCAAATTTTAAAATAACATGAAAGATGCTAAATTATATGTTATGTTAAATTGATTAGCACAGAATTAATTGAACAAGAAGAAAGCAAAAAGTATTCACCAGAGCTGCAATGAAAAAAAGTAGGACAGAAAACTCATTCTTATTCCAACATTCAAAATGTCATTACATCAATTATACAAATCCTTTTTAAATATTATAACATTTATTTTTCAATACAGTAAGGGAGCTACCATTTGATTTTTATTAGGGGGTGTGGCTAGGATGAAATTTGAAAAAATAGGCAGGACAGGAGTTTTGAGTAAAAAAAAAGGAGGGATGAGACACATGCAAAAAAAAAGTCAGGACGACAACTTAGGTAAAAAAAGTCAGGATAAACTAAAAAAAAAAAAAAGGCAGGACAGAGATTACAGCTAAAAAAAATGCAGGACAACATTTTTTATCCTAGCCCCCCCCCCCCCCCCCCCCCCCATAAAAATCAAATGGTAGCTCCCTTATAACGTTCAAAATAAAAACTATCTATACTTGGTTGTTTTTTGCTAGATAAAATTATTGAACACGAATAGTTACAAGTAAGTTTTCTTAATTGAATTGTTTCGTATTTTTCATGTCGGGGCCTTTTAAAGCGAAAGATACGGTATGGGTTTTTCTCATTGTTGAAGGCCGTACGGTTGCCTATAATTGCTTACATCCACTTTATTTGAACTTTGGTGGATGGTTGTCTCATTGGCAATCACACCTCATCTCCTTAGTTTTATAATGATGTTATGAATATATAAAGATACTAAAATTTGAAGATCTACTAAATAAATGTATGTCAATATTTGGAATATAATTTAAACAGTACTTTACATCCAGTATAGTCCACGTTAGCTTGTTGCCTAGGACTTAAGTTTAATGCCTAATTTTACTTATTGCCTAGGACTTGAGCTTAATGCTTAATTTTACTTATTGCCTAGGACTTAAGCTTAATGCCTAATTTTACTTATTGCCTAGGACTTAAGTTTAATGCCTAATTTTACTTATTGCCTAGGACTTGAGCTTTATGCCTTATTTTACTTATTGCCTAAGGCTTAAGCTTAATGCCTAATTTTACTTATTGCCTAGGACTTAAGGCCTAATTTTACTTATTGCCTAGGACTTAAGCTTAATGCCTAATTTTACTTATTGCCTAGGACTTAAAGCCTAATTTTACTTATTGTCTTGGACTTAAGCTTAATGCCTAATTTTATTTATTGCCGCTAATATATATGATCAAAGACTTGTTAACACTTGGATTACTCTAATTACACAAGTATGGACCAATTAAAATCTCCTAAAATAGAGTAACTCCTGGGCTGATATGCATAAAACCACTTAAGTTAAGATATTTATTCGTAGTGCTAACTTATCGAAGGACATGAAGAAAAATCCGTCTTTTCGGAACAAATCTTAATTTAAGTAGCTTTATGCATATCCGTCCTGATCTTTTTATAGCTCTGCACCGGTTCAAATAGATAGGTACGCACTATTGCCAACAAATCTGAACTTAAGTAGCTTTATGCATATCAGTCCTGATCTTTTCGTAGCTCTACACCGGTATAATAGATAGGTACTTACCATGGTCAACAAATCTTAACTTAAGTAGCTTTATGGATATCAGTCCTGATCTTTTTATAGCTCTGCACCGGTTCAAATAGATAGGTACTCACTATTGCCAACAAATCTTAACTTAAGTAGCTTTATGCATATCAGTACTGATCTTTTTATTGCTCTACACCGGTACAATAAATAGGTACTCACTATTGCCACATATCTTAACTTAAGTAGCTTTATGCATATCAGTCCTGATCTTTTTATTGCTCTACACCGGTACAATAAATAGGTACTCACTATTGCCAACAAATCTTAACTTAAGTAGCTTTATGCATATTAGTCCTGATATTTTTAAAGCTCTACACCGGTACAATAAAAAGGTACTCACCACTGCCAACAAATATTCGTTGATGTCTTGATTGTTGTGAAATTATATACTGTTGTTCCCATACATTTTCTCTTTGTATGTATCCGAATATTATAAGTAAACATAAAACTATTGAAATTATAACATTTCTCAAATTTTCGTTCATTTTTATTTATTAAACCTACATGCGCATATCGCTTTAATTGATTTCGTATATGAAATGGTAATTTCGAAAATTCAATATCTAGGTTAAGACTTTTTTCTTAGTTTTATACTTTTTTCTTTTTTTTTCTCTCTATTCCACAATTTTATCAATCTGAATTATCCATATTTCATTATCACAGAAGCAATGAATAACAAATCTTTAGCATTTTGTCCCGTATATTGAAAGTTTCTTTCTGTCTTGTTGAAACACATATCCATCCTGTTGCAAATTTGTGCACTGAATTTTTATATGTGTGCACTAAACAAGTGCATCATAAAATTAGAATTCAGCTCCAATTTTTCTCCCATACTTCTATAGTAATGATGAATTGCTCAATGCGATATAGACATGTACAAATTTGCAACTTTTACAACAATTATAACAAATCTATTGACAGTCAGCTGTTTTTCATGTATTGCTACAACCCGTCCACTTTGAGTTGCAATCTATGTTAAATGTATTGCATTACAATCTATCATAATGTCATTCGAGCATGACGGCTGAATAACCATTGATTAAAAAAGTGAAACAATGTTTCTCGTGTAACAACATCGACATAATAATTTGTTCACTACAACTTTAACTGTAATATCTGTGCCCATTTGGCCATTGGGGCGTAATAATTGACAGAAAACATATTTGTTTATTTTCTGATACATGCAGTTAGGTGACGACCATTTGTTTTTCTGGGGCGGGGTAGGGGGCGAGAGTGCAGGAGAATTTTGAACTTGAAATGAATGACTTGGCTTAGAACTGAATATAGATAAATTTGCACAAGACAGGTTGAAAATGAGTATTCTGCTACACAAAATTCAGGAAACATAGGTGTACTAATGTGAAAATAAATTTTCGCGCTCAAAAAAAAATATTATGAGTAGCGAAGAGATGAAAATAAATGATCAGCTGGCCACTAAACAATAATGTATACTAGTTCAGCGAATATTGACGTCACACTAAACTCAGAAATATATAAATGAACCAAAATAGAAGAAAAAACATACAAGACTAACAAAAGCCAGAGGTTCCTGACTTGGGAAATGCGCAAAATGCGGCGCGTTTAACATGTTAAACAGGTAGTTAGGTGACGGCCATTCGAATTTCTGGGGCAGGGTGGGGGTACGAATGCAGTAGAATTTTGAATTTGAAATGAATAACTTGGCCTGGTAATAACTGAAAATAAATAGATTTGTACAAAACAGGTTGAAAACGAATATTCTGCAGCACAAAATTCAGGAAACAAATGTGTACAAAAGTGAAAATATTTGTTTGCGCGGCATGTTCGCGGAAAAAAATAATCATACGAAGCAGCAGATGAGAATAAATGATCAATCCAGAAATAATCCTCCTTGCCCCCCCCCCCCCCCCCCCCCCCCCCCCCCCCCCCCAATGTCAAATAGTCGTCCCCTCAT